CCCCCCCCCCCCACCGCCGAATCGTGAGGGCCCCCCTTGACAATCGTGAATGAGTCTGGAATGCCCCGGAGCAAAGCCCCAACGCTCCGCTAGAGATTGCGATGGAACGCTACGTTCGTCGGCATTGGTGCTGGCGAATTTGCGTCGTGAGCTGATCGCAGTCATAATCGAGGAGGCGCACAAAGCAAAGCGAGCGGGTCTGCACCGTTCGCAGCAAATGAAACGATGGGATTCTTGTTGCCAAGTGTGGCGGCAGCGATTGCAACAGCGACGAAAGAAAAAAAAATGAAAAAAAAATAATAAAAGACTAAAAAATAAAAAAATGTTCTATTTCACGGAGCTTGTGTACAAGTTGAACAGATGAAGTACAGCGCCCAAGGCTTCTTTCTTGAAAGAAGGCGCACACTGGCCCGCTAGCGATAGGAGATGGGGCATGTTGGAGCTGGAATGTCCCCGCGAGAGCACGTTTCGGCCAAATTGTGGAGAATGGAGAGAGAGGAATCACAGCTTCCCAACTTGTTGGCCGGCGGCGAGAGGGCGAGAGCGTGGCAACGTCCGAGGTTGCGCAGCGTGCGCGAGAGTTCACCCCGAATCGTGCCTGGCCGGCTCAGCGATGGCTAGATCCTCGATGAGCCACAAGGGATGGATCGAGGGTCGCCTGGAAGCTGCACTCGCAGGGGCAGACCCAGATGCGTCCGTGGAATCAGATGCAGGGGCAGAGCTGGACCTGGCTGAAAGCTTGCCTTTCCTCTCCGCTCTGGAAGCCCGCAAGCTTTGCAAATATTTGCTGGCCCACGACTCGTCTGGGTTCTCCTCCACATCCGGCGTCGTACAGGCCTCGCCCCCGTCAATGTTCATATCGTGAGCCGACTCGTTGGAGTGTTCGGTCGGATTGGAGCATGTGGTCAAAGCGACCCAATTGTCGAGTTCATTCAAACGCGGCCTGAGGCCCTCTGTATTCCCTCCACTTTTCAGCACGCGCATCGTCCGCCTCATAAAGGCGGTGCACAGCGCCACGAAAGGCACCGCGTCGAAGATGAATCGTTGGGGGGCCGTTCGGTATGCCTCGGAATCGAAGCCCGCTCTTTCGCCCTCCACCCAATGCACTCTCCACCGTTCGAGCGAGATGATAAGCTGTTCGAGCTTTACAATCAGCGCCTGTTGCGTGCTGGGGGACAAATGGTCCGGATGAGTGGTAACAGTGGCGGGCCCACCAGACGTCGTCTTGGATGGATACCACGGCGTCGACGCGCTCGACGCCGAGGTGCCGAGAGCAGAGGCGTCCGATGATGCAGTGCTGCCCTTGCGTTGCATTTCGTGGGCTTGCATTGCGTTCTTGGCTGTTGCGGCGGCGTGCGCTTTGACCGCGGACTGTGCCAAACGCAGCGCGTTGCAAGCACTATTGACTTGGATGTGTATCAGAATCCACATGGAAAATGGCGTTGCGAGGCCGGGCCTCAAAGCAGCCTTGGGCGAGGCGAGGGTGGATAGCGCCTGAGGAAGTGTGGGTGGCGCTTCCGCAAGCATCCTCATGCTTTCGGCCCAAGAGTGGGCATCCGGCTTGTTCCATATCTCGGAGGCGTACGGCATCCTCATGGATTCTATCATCGAGCGCTGCATTCCAAAGGAGTGACCGAAAAAGATCATTTGGGCAGCATCTTCGACCGATGTCAAAAGCACCAAGCTGGGCGCGCAACGACGGGGGTCAATTGACAAATTTGAAGCATCAGTATCCGTCGAACTTGCGGGCGCATCGTGGGCATGCCGTATGAGCTCACCGCTTCTTCCATTCGTTCAAGGCCCACGCGTGCCACAGCTCTGGAGAGTGCTGATCGTGCGGCCAGGCCGCGGCGCCAAAATTGGTGACTTGAAGCAACGACATCAGGTTACCGGTCAATAGCCGGCTCGTCAACTGCAATTTGGCGTTCGTGCTCGAGAAGCAGCTGAATTTGAGCGCCAGTAGCCCAGCTATGAGAAGAGCAACGTAAGAATCTTGGCGCGTTTCGGACTGAACAGGCAAGAATTTGAAAAAGCGAGTGAGGTCAGATGAGGATGCGGATCTGACGATGACCTGCCACAAGCCCAGCAAGCTCACTTCTAAGAACGCGGACGTCATTCGCTCGCCGGAGGTCATGAGCATTTTTGTACTGAAGCGCTGCGCTGCATCGGACTCGTCGAACCTCAAACCGACGATGAGCGCGCATTGCGCGAATTCTCCAGGACAGTTGGCGAAGTCGAAAGTGGCGAGGTGCACGAGTGGGTATTGAGAGATGAAGCGACCAAAAAAGTTGTTGGCGCTGAGCTTGAGCGCTGGTGAGGCGAGGCCACATGCAAGAGCTTGAACCTCGAAATCTAGTAAAGCCTGCGAAAGATTGGCGCTTTGGGGGAGAATGGCAGCGGGCCGGAGAGAAGCGATGAGAAAGATCGAGAAGGGCACGGCGTGCCACGCGTCAACCACGGCGGCGGCGACATCAACGGTGCCATCGCTTGCTCACTTTGCGGAAGGCATGACAGGCCATATGTGGTGCTCTGGCTGTGTGAGTCGGCTCGCGTCGGCGCCAGGCGGCAAGAAAGATGGTGTGCCCGCGACCAGCAAGTCTGACAAGGGGCTTTGCACCCGCGCGAAAAAGTCGTTGTGATGCAAGAAGCCGAGCAGGGAGGCTTCTGCAGATCCTCCGGTCACGCCTTCAATGCTCGGCGCCAGACCGCCAAAGGGTAAATTTGCATTTCCACCGTCGTTGTGGCCGCGAGTGGAAGTGTCGGATGCAAGGGAAGAAGAGCCTGGTGCGGTTCCTAGGAGCACGTCGCTCAGATGAAGCGCTTGTTCCTGGCCTTGTTCAATATCCGCTGTGCGGGGGTACTCCGAGATGCTACCGCTAGTGGAGGCGACGGGAGCAGCTTGCGAATTTTGGTTCATCTTCGCATCGATACCCACGTCGTATGGAGTAAGGCCAGTCGAGTGTATGATGTCCATCATGGGCATGGACAGGCTCGCATCTGGTGCGACCTGCTGAGGGGCTAGTAAGGGTGGCATGTCTGCACCCGAGGTGGCGTATGCAAATGCGGCCGGCCCGTGCAGTTCACTCGACCAGTCTTGCATTGCCTGGTCTTGCAAATGTGCATTCTGACCGAGATCCATCGTCAGCGCTGCTGTGACAGGAACGCCATTCACGTCCATCGGAATGTTCTGGTCAGGGCCATTCCACGCGCTTGCACCAGTAGCATCGGCAAAGCCAGGCATGACTAGTGCCGGGTCATAGGCTGGCATGCCAGACTGATGCACAGATCTTGAAACGGCGGCCGGTGGGTGGCTCACTGCTGGGTCCGCAGGCTGTGGCTGAGAGGCTTCGGGTGACTGCATAGAGGGTGGTGCGTGTTGCTGCCGTGAGGAGCTGCTATGCTGGTCCTCAAAGTGGCCATCGGATGGATGTTGGGGCGCACAGCGTTCCTTGGCCATCGGAATTTCTTCATCCGACGACACTCTGACTGGGGACTTGGTGCGCACAAGTTTAGCGCTGGGCTTGTATATACACTGGATATCACGATCTCTACACGAAGCGCAGGATGGGTCTTGACGATCGCACACAATCTTTAGCGAAGCACACGATTCACAAGCCTTCTTCATAGGCTTGAGGCTCTTTCCACCAGGGCCTTTTCGACAGGTAGTCATGTGCCTCTTCAATACATCCCTGCAAGGCAGCCACCAGATGAAGATGCAGGATGAGCACGGGTGGTCTGTATTCCGGGCGCCGACGACGGAGTCTGGGCTGCGAATTTGCCGACTCACGAGCGTGAAAATCCGACATCGCAATGCTTGCATTTGTGAGCTGTCGAAGAGGAGTCTTCACGGGCGCCCAGGTGCGCACACACATAGGTAGCGAGAGATGATGGAAAGATCGAAAACAGAGCGTGGAAGGAAAAGAGACGCGCGATCAAAAAAAAAGGCTGATGAGCGTGCGCCCGGACCGGCGCCCAGTCATACAGGCAAGACTCACGGACGCGGGTAATGTGACGCAGTGCCAAATCGCTGCGTTTGAAGACTCGATCGCAAAACGGGCAAGCGCTCTGACGAGCGTTGGTTGATGTGTTGGTGCTGCTGCTGCCTTTCGCCACCTCGCCGTCCTCCGTGCCATCCTGGCTGGCCTGGCGGCTGTGGGAGGGGGTGGTGCGCGCAGATGAATGCATATTGGTCACGCCAAAGTTCCAAGTGTCGCCAGATCCCGGTCCCGGTCCCGTATCGGAGCCTCTGTGCGCGTCCTGCTGGCTGGCAGATGAGGAAGTAGCCAAGTCTTTGCTCGAGCCTGAATGTGATAGCTGCTGCTGCTGCTGCGCGGTACTGCCAGCGTTTTGCAAGAAAGTTTGGCCCAGCATATCAGAAAAGCCATCGTAAGAGGAGTCGGAAAACATTTCTCCCATAAAAGGAGTTCGAGTCTGAGTAACCTGTTCAAAGTCTGCTGATGCTAGAGCGGCATCAAGCCGTGCAGCATCGTGATTCACATTCAGCGCGCTCTTGTGCGAGGAGCTACGCGGACTCGAGCCTTTTGTCCCGCTGCCCTTTTGATGCGGTGATGCGTCGGCGTGCGGAGCGGCTAGCGCGGTCGCGGTCATGGACCATGCTGACGAAGGCACGTCTTCGTGCCGCGACGCTTGCCAAGACGCGGCGTGAGACGGGACGCGGGGCATGTCTTTCTGCTCTTTGCTCTTCCAAGATCAAGGTGCGTGCTGCTGGATGCTGAATGCATGCGCATGCATGCGTGCGTAAGTGCGTGCAATGTGAACAAGGCGCCGCTCCACGCGAGCCGTGGGTGGTGGATGTGCTGCTGCTGTGCGCACGGGCCAATTCTCGTGAATCGACTTCGCTACCTGAGATCGAGGATAGCAGCCGGTATATAACCCCCCAATCGCCCGCGTCGTGACCACCTAGGCAATGACGCTTGTTCGTGCTGCGAAGGCTGCTCTAGGCTGGCCCGCTCTGTCCGCTTTTTCTCTGACTGGGGGGCTGACCAAGATTACGACTGCGCGCTAGGGATGTAAGTGTGAGGTGTGCTTGTCTGCTAATAAGACGTACGAATGGCATCGCCTCGCAAGGGAGGACATGGATGGGGCAAAAGGGCGGAAGAGACGTACTCTGGTCCAACTAAATCGAGCTGGAGGTCATTTATACGGACTTGTACGGCGACGGCTGCGGCACCGGATCGCCTTGGGTGGCAGGCTGCGCATTGGAGAAATGGTGTAGGCGCACAGCACACCTCATCCCGGCTCACCTTCTGGAAATTAGCTCTCGAGCAGCAACAGCAGCAGCACAAGGGGTAATGACTCGGCATGGCGCTGCACCCGTTGCATTAGTCAGGCACACTGCTGTGCAATCCGAGGCGGTATAGCGCTAGAGGGGAAAGCGATGTGGATCGCACCAAACACCCGCGTTCATCGCGTCCATATCTTGCGATCTGCACATTCATTGAGGCGTCGTTGCCGCTGCAGCTAGCCAGCTAGCTATGCCAAAGGGCGAGTCACCGAGCTGGCCGTTGGACTAGCAGGAAGGCAAGGCGCGGCAGGGCGCGGCAGGGCGCGGCAAGGCACAACGTCACGCACAGCGCAAACGTTCCGATCGTGGATATAGGCGGCCAAATCGAATCGTCGATCGGAGTTTGAACCTTGCAGAATGCGTTGATGCTCGAGTTTTGAGTCGTGAATGGAAAGTTCGCAATGAACGTGAACGTGTACGTGACTGTTGTGATCCTCTTTGAGGCGCTAGCGCAGACCGAATCGAGACGTAGTACAGTAGTGTCGGGGTCTCTGCTGCCGCTGCCGTTGCTGCCGCTGCCGAATGAGCGCATACGAAGTGCAATTTGCTCTTCTACGCACTGCTGGCCGAGCAGATCACTCGTGAGTGGATTGTAACCGTAAGCAATGCTCGAATGCCCACGCTCACCAGACTTGTGCGTGACTCGGCCGATGGGGATGCAAATGCGGGAGACGCATGCCTTGTGCGTGTCGCTTGATGCTTAGCCAGGCGCAATCATGAATGTTGAACAAACCAAAGATAAGCGCGTTTTTTGATTTTTGAGAAAACGCCACGCTGCGCGGAGTTTTGATCGAGGAACGGAGTCGAAAGCACTCTGACTATACTTGCATCGACTCTCCAGAGCACTACTACTCTGACTGTAGTCGGACGAACTCGTGACTGTTGGCGCTACATGCGCGCGTGCATGGACCGGCAAGTCGAGTCCATGCCGCTCCTTCGCTCATGCTTCGATGCTTGCAACCAATCGTGATTGTGAAATGCTTCAATGCTGCTTGCTGCCATAGGTACGGTACTCCGCTGAGTCTCCCCCTGCTGCACTGATTGCATCATCATCTCTAGCCTCTACTCCTACTCAAGACTCTCGACGTCCATCAGAATGCAAAATAGCGGAAGTCGAGTAGCACGACTTTAGCAAGCAGAAGCATCACGTCGTGAAAAGCGACCTGACATGGGCCAAAGAGTCAGCAGTGTAGTCGTGAGTCATCGATCGATGGATTGTGTTGGAGCTAGCGGCCGGGCGTCGGGCGTCGGGCGTCGCACGCACGCACGCACGCACGCACGCACGCGCGCGTATGCATGAGCTTTAGCGCCGACCTGATTCACGATTCACGCTGCGGGCCTGGTCAACAGTCAAGGTACAGTCACACAGTCACAGCGACTGTCCGCTATACACCAGAGGCTGTGCCGAGGCGCAGCCGGCAGCCGTGTAGCCCCGTAGCGCGTTCCATCCCGAGGAATCGTGATGTCAACATTTGAGAATTGGTGCGCTGACCGCGCTCTGCGTAGGGGCTAGCGCTAGGCTAGCTCCAGCATTCACATTTGTACAGGACGATCGATCGCAGCTAGGGAGGCTGTGTGACCGCGCGCCACCTTCCATTCGGCTCCCGCGGGTGCCCTGCGTCGAGATCCACCATGGGGTTCAGCGGTACCAAGCACAGAACGGCGCAACATGGCCGGGCTGCATGCGTGACGTGAGCAGCGCAACTTAGCGGCACGGGCTTAGAACAGGGCTTGCAGCGGCATAATTACAACGAGTCGGCGAACGTAGCAGCCGAAATTTCATTTCCAAATCGTTGCTCTCAACACCCTTCTCGATCGGTCGCTCGTAGAGGACCGACGCACGAGAGCTGCCTGTTGTACCACTCACGACTACACCACAGAAGCTGCAGAGAGAGATCGAGCGCCTTTCAGCGCCGAGGTCACGGCCGGCCGGCGCTTTACTTGATGCCGATCGAGCGAATCGTCCGCGCAAGTCCTGAGCTGTGCGCAGCAATCGTGAATCGTGAATTTGAATCAATGTGCCGCGCCACCATCACATCACGCATGATGGACGGACCCAAGAATCTGAATCGTGAATGGCGCCAGCGCAATCGCGGCCAACACTCACTATGACTCGAAATATTGAATTCCATCCAAGCGCGCGCTTATCGTCCAGCAGCATGCAGCAGCGACTCCGCATCGTGCCGCGCCGCGCCGCGCTCGCTCTCCCTCGCCTATTCCCTTTCTCGCATCTGTTAGGATTCTTGATTCAGATTCTTGATTGTGATTTGCAAGGTATGTAGGTAGGCGTAGACGAGATGACATCATCGCCGAATTTCACCTTTTTACACGCATGCTGTCTCCCCTCACGTGAGACTCCGGCGTGCTCAGACCATACGGTCTACCCATGTATCCTTAGCGCTTCACGCCGTACTGCTGCTGCATGCATCCATAACTAATCTCTAGCGCGACTGATCTTTTGGGTCAAAGCTAGGTGACACGCGTGTATGTACATCTCTCGCGCCCGCGCCGCGCCACGGTCAAACGGTGGCCTAGCTAGCTGATCCAAAGCTGTAGTAGTACCGTACCTGACCGGAGAGCAAGATCGCAACGTCGAGACAAGCGGCACGGCAGATTCTATTTGGAGTTGCGCGCGTGGTCAACATTTCGAAGACATGAGCATATACGCACGTGCCACAAATGCGCCTCACTTCTTGCTGCGGGCAACTTGAGCCGAGCGCTGAAAAGACGACTACCAAGGGGGGGGCCGCGGGGGAGGGGGCAGCCGCAGTGTACGGAGGAAGAGTCGTATTCGTATCACTACATTCACAACAGTGTCGACTCCAGCGTATCCTGTACTTCCGCATCGCCTCTGCTCTCATTCCACCAGAACCCCGAGCTGGCAGCGACGCAGAGGAGAGTGCGCAGCGAGCGTCGATTGTGCGGGTGGATACTTCAATTGCAATCACAATTCTCACGAGAGAACAGGAAGTTTATACGGACGATAGAGAAGTCTTGAAGTATTGTATAGAGGGGCGCAAACACAGGGAGCTTGTACGGACGATGGAGTCTAGAGTATTGTATCAAGGGACGCGCGTCACAGCCAACCTGAACTTGTTCAACGCAATCTCATGCTGGATGGCAAAGCGTCCCACGCTTCCGTGTGTCTCGCGTCCAGCTCTCTGGATCTCAGCGAGCTAGTAGCACCTTCTCTCGACAGTTGCCCCATCAGCGCATCCATCACGGCAAGCACGGCCATGCTTTCGACGATGGGGACAGCGCGGGGCAGCACGCAGGGATCGTGTCGACCACGAGTGACCAGTACGCCCGAGCTGCCATCGTATTGGGCCGTCTCCTGCTCCTGAGAGATTGTCGCAGCTGGTTCTGTACGGGCAAGGCATAGGTTCACAAATTCCCGTGCAGAGGATGATCAGCTGTCTGTGCTGCTTGATGGGTGGCGATCAAAACCCTTCCAAACTACGCTTTTCGGCGATACTCACTGAAAGCAACGGTAAAGTAGATGTCTTCACCGTTAGAGATGCCGCCTTGAATTCCTCCGCTCCAATTCGTCTCTGTGCGGAGCGCGGAGCCGGTAGGACCCAGACCGTTGGGGTGGGGTACGAATTTGTCGTTGTGTTGAGATCCGCGCATGGCAGCCCCATCGAATCCGGAGCCGAATTCGAATCCCTTCGTGGCGGGAATGCTCAGCATGGCATGGGCTAGCGTCGCCTCGAGCTTGTCGAACGCTGGCTCGCCCAAGCCGGGTGGCACGTTACGAAGAACGCAGGTGACGGTGCCACCGATCGAATCGTGCGCGTCCCTACACTCCTCAATGACCTGGAGAAAAAGGCATTGAGAGCACGTGTCGTGTTGGGTCTTTAGCTCGGCCCCGAGTTAAAGGCAGGATGAAGCAGCTGCTGTGGCTTGCGTTGCCAAAAAAACCAAAAAAAAAAAAACTCACGGATGTCATGCGAGCAGCGGTAGCTTCGTCGGGGCAACGCACGGGAGACGCGTCAACCTGCTCACGAGAGACTGCAGCTAGCAAACCTCGATACGCAGAGCTGGTAGGATATTGCAGGCCGTCGTCGGCGGCGGCACTCTTGTCGCTGTGATGACGTTGAAGATAGGCGCGCGTCTTCTCCTCCTCCTCCTCCTCCTCCTCGCTTTGAGGTGGACTATTTTCGAGCCTTGGAGCTTGAAGGGCAGCTGCCATACGGGCTTGCGTCTTGGCCTCGGTAGCATTCTTGGGAAGTTTGACGGGACCAACGCTGCTGACGAATGCCACACATTCGATGCCGTACGCCAACTTGAGGTATTGCTCAGCGATTGCCGCTCCAGCGACTCTGCCGATCGTCTCTCTCGCGCTGCTACGTCCACCTCCGCTGCTAGCCTTGACGCCGTACTTGCGTAGGTAGGTGTAGTCCGCATGAGATGGGCGCGGATAGAGGTCAAGCGTCTCGTCTTTGTAGTCGTGAGGTCTTTGGTCCATATTCTGCACCAACATGCAGATGGGCGTTCCCAGCGTCACTCCGCGCTCCACACCACTCTGGATCGCCACCTGATCCTTCTCATCACGTGGCGTGGTGAGCGCGCTCTGGCCGGGCCTTCGTCGACGCAACTGCGCCTGAATCAGCGACTCGTTCAGGTCCAAGCCTGGAGGACAGCCATCCACAATGGCGCCCACCGATCTGCAGTGGCTTTCGCCGAACGTCGTAACGCGAAAGTGTGTGCCGAAAGAACTCATGCTTGTGTCGCTTTCGTTGCCGCTCAGCGCCGCTTTGGATTGTGAAGGATGGCGAATGCAACGCTTGAAGCAGTTTCAGTCCGTGTGTTGAAAGAGGAAAGCATCCAGAGTGGCAAGGGATGATGACATGCCGTCTCGCAAGGTGGATGTGCGCAGGGCAGTCATTTATGAGGAAAACGTGTACCTTGAAGAGAGATAGAGACGCACACGCTTCCTCCGCTCCGAGCGCGCTTCGGCCAGCAGCGCTGCTCTGATCTTCCTGCAGGCCCACCAACGGCATCACCTGAAGCGGATCGCTTATTCACACTGACCTCCATACGCCATGCTCTTTTTGCACCTGTCGCATGCAAGTGCGCCGCTTACGAGACTTTTGGCGTGTGTGTACCATTCAAGGGCGGAGGCGAGCGCGAGCGGAGATGGGCCACCGGACATGCAGACGCAAGCGCAAGCCAAGCACTTCAAGGTGCTACTGCACTGCACTAGCGAGAAGGTAGTGGTGGGCCATACGCCAGAGGCTGGCAGGCGAGAATGCGAATGCGAGCGAGCAAGCAGAGAGAAGTAGGGACGGAATGGTCCGAGGGATGCCCCATTCCCAGTCTGGCTGTCTGTCTGTCTTTCTGCTCGTCTGTCTTTCTGCCTGCCTGCCTGCCTGCCTGCCTGCCTGCCTGCCTGCCTGCCTGCCTGCCTACCTGCCCTGTTCTACGCCACTCATCGTAAGAGCTCTGGACACTGGTGGTCAGCAGGGCGGGGGCAGATGCACAGCATGGCCATTGTCGACTTTGTGACAAGCTCGCATATCATCGCTCCGAAGTTGTTGCGGTTGATTCGCACATGCGCAGGCACAGACTATAATACCTACTGCAGGCAATCCGCTGAGGTGGACTTAGTTGCGGGTTCGCAGCGAGGGCCGGGCGGAAGTGAATGCGCGCGGTCGCGGAGACGCGAAAGCGGCGGGCAACCTGCGTGATTGAAATTTCGGCCCAGCGTTTGATCTGAGTATGCGTCCGCGGGATGGGTCCCACCTGTAGCACGTGACGAAAGCGTGCCTATCTCATCGTGCATGCATGCAGCATGCATGCAAGATGTCTATATACAGCCCTCGGCAGAGTTTGGTGTGATATCCAAGCAGTGAAAGTGAAACACCATCATCTCCGTGTCAAATCACCTTCCACCATCTCCGTGCGCAGCTCGCCGCAGCCGATTCGACACCGAGAGCGGCACAACTACGCGAAGCTAGGCCGAATCGAACTGCCCCGAGAAAGCCAAGCTTGGGAAGCAACGCCTCAACGACGTACGACTGCAAAATGGCCGGTCCAAATGAGCTCGGCCAGTCCACCTCACATCTCTCAGAGGGCGGGGTTCACTGTCTCGCACAGTCGAATTGCAGGCACTCTTGCTGCTGCTGGTGTTACATGCAGCCGGAACAAGCAGGAATTCGCCGCTGCGCCTACGCCAACGTGCGCATTCGACTGCATCAGTCCTCTATACAGTCACGATGATCGAGAGGCAAGGACTGCACCCGTGAGCGGTACCGCAATCAAACATGAAACAAAGCTCAGTTTCACATCCACCTTGACCATCTTTGGGCTGCCAGCTGGTGCATGGCGATAAGCCGGCGGTGATGCAATCCTCCCATTCAACTTGCCGCGGCGCATGAATGCGAGCGGATATGGCGACTCACATGCGTATTCGTTGCTCTCACTTTAAGGTTTGGCATGCGCAACGGCAAACCACAAGCCAGCGAGATAAGATGCGAGACCACAGCGCCTACACTGAAGCGCCGGTGGTACCGGCGGGGCCGTGAGCCGACGGATCAAGGCACGGCCAAGTGGGCGGTCAGAGTCCGCCAGGTACATCGCAACCACCCACGGCGAACGCTGTACGGACTGCACAGGTCCACATTCACCCCCCCCGCCCAGGTGCTACGTCGTGCGCTCGATCCGCCGACGGGTCAGCGCACGGCCAAAGGCGCGCTCAGAGGTTATCGTGTACATCGAAACTATCCTGGGCTCAGTTCGCCTTACCAGCAGCCTGAGCTCCCTCGCCCAAGCGCACTAGGCCCATCCTTCGCAGCGACTCGCCAGGACTGTTACGTGCCTTTCACACATATAAATGTCGGGAGCAGACCACGAAAAGATATCTCCATCTTCCCCAGCTCACTTTCACTTGCACGGACCCCCGACCCACAACCTTGAACTCTTGGCAAATGCTCTGCCAACCTTTACGATAGACGACAGACATCGCACCGAACTAGACTATTTTATCTGCCACCACGACGCAACGCCTTCTCACACCACACACCTAAATAGGCGCAACACGATGCCGGCTATTCACAACGCACCACCCAAACTCGACCTCGGTCACATGGCTTTCGAGCTGTCCACTAAGAAGGCGCTGCTGGGCCAACAGCAATCGCTGAAGACTCAAGCCACCGCGCCAACAGAGACAGACTGGCACCCAACTTCTTGGCGGTCTAAGCCTGTCACTCAAGACATCGTCTATCCGGACCAGGGCGCTCTCTTCAAAGCGCTCAGCAAGATTTCGCATCTCCCCAGCCTCGTGTCGGCCGGCGAGATCGAACGTGCTCGCGAAGATTATGCTCGAGGTGCTCGCGGCGAGGCATTCTTTCTGCATGGCGGTGACTGCGCCGAGGGTGAGTACTCGACCAAGGCGACGGTCGTATCTGTCAGTAGCTGGATCGCTGATTTCATTGACGACCCACCCGCCCGCGCTCAGCCTTCAATGAATGCACGGAGGACCACATCTCAGCGCAGCTCCGTATTCTCTTGCAGATGAGCTTCATCATCTTCATGGGAGCCAAGACACCAGTTGTGCGCGTCGGCCGCATTGCCGGGCAGTATGCCAAACCCAGAAGCAAATTGGCCGAGGTTGTGGACGGCAAAGAGTACCCCTCTTTCCGCGGCGACTCTGTCAACGGAATGGATCTCACCGATAGGCAACCGGACCCAGACAGGCTTGTCTCGGCGTACTTCCATAGTTCGACGACGATCAACTACCTGCGCAGCCTCAGCACCGAGCAACAGCTACTCGACGCCGCCATCAAGGAATTGAACTTCGACGCCGACTCTATCGACAGCGAGATTCTGCGTGTCAAGGCTCATCAAGTCCACTCGCGCATCGAGGACGCGCTGCTGCTCTATGCGTCTTCTGCGCGCAACGGCGACAAGGCTAGCTCTCGCACCCTGGACCACTTGTCACGAGCCATGGGCAGCGAAATGCTGTGGACATCTCATGAAGCCCTCAACCTTTCGCTGGAGGAAGCCAGTGTTCGTAGCGTGCTTGACCCCGTCACTGGAGCCACTCACCACTACGACTCTTCCGCGCACATGATCTGGACAGGCGAGCGTACGCGTCAACTGGAAGGAGGGCACATCGAGTTCATGCGCGGCCTACGAAACCCAATCGGCTGCAAGATCGGCCCGACTATGCAACCCGACGAATTGGTCGCTCTGCTGAACAAATTAGACCCCGACTATCAGGATGGCCGGGTAACTCTGATTACGCGACTGGGCGTGGATAAAGTCGATCGTTTCCTTCCTCCCCTCATCGATGCTGTTCAGGCATCTGGGCACCGTCCCCTCTGGTTGTGCGACCCATGCCACGGCAACGGAAAGACCACGCCGACGGGCATCAAGACGAGAGACTTTGCAGACATCTTTGGCGAGATCGAGAAGAGTATCAGCGTTCACAACGCCATGCACAACCCGCTCGGTGGGTTGCACCTCGAGCTGACGGGTGACAATGTCACCGAGTGTACCGGCGGTTGCATTCCACTGGGAGAGGACCAGCTGGGTTCTGCGTACAAGACGCTTTGTGACCCTAGGCTTAGCGCGGAGCAGAGCCTTCACCTAGCTCTTCTGGTCAGCAGACGACTCGAGGGAGATAATCTTCATGCCCACCTCAGCTCGGCGCCTGTCTCAGCTGCCTCCTCGGCACCCGGCTCCCCTGGCAAGTAAGCGAGCCATAAATCCAGTGTATTCCATATTTTTCCCACTATAGATGATATACGAGCCTGCTTGTCCGTCTCCTCTCACGCAACACAACTCCCCCAACAGACTTGAAGCACCCGTCTTCGTTCGAACCTCCCCGCTTGTCTTCCATGTTCCGAGATCCTCGATGATTCTCTTTGCCACTCAGTCCCAGTCCCAATCGCATCTTCTTTCTACTGTCCCATCCTCGAATGCCTTTCACTCGTGACTGTGCCAATCAATGGTCTTTGTGAGTGCATCCACCGCGCGGCGCGAAGCCAACGATTTCGTGCGCAAGCTTTGAAAGTCCGTGTGCCTTGCCGTCAGCGCGCTCTACCATCCACAACGGTAATGCAGCGCTAATCCCAATCGAATCGAAGGAAGACGCTGTGCTCACGCCAAATGCTGGCGCGGAGGAGCCACATGACCGTGGCGATCGTCGGGGCTTCGAGGAGCATCATGCATGCAGCACCAGCAAGTCGAGCACGCGCGCAGCACGGTGCAGCTGCTGATGTTTGCGAGCCGCGTCGGGCATTGGAAGTCACGTGATATAATCGAACTACGCGGGTTCGCGGGTGCCTGCACGCATTCACATTTGATTCTTGATTCAATTCTCGGGTCCGCACCTGCTCTGCGCGCGCGCGGCGCTGGACCACACTCATCTCCGCGGCGGAGGTGGTTGCATCGCAGATATCGCACCATCATTTGTTTGATCAATCCATCGAATTGAGGTCACGCAACGCAACGCAACGCACCGCAACGCACCGATGCAGAGGTGTGGATGCGTGCGCACACTCGTCGGGCACCATGGAGCCGGAAGTTCATGCGCTGCGGCCGCGCTCGCTTAATTGTTTGTTGTCGGCGTGCTGGCCATGCTGCGCGTGAGTGACTCATCAGACTGATGGATGTCCTCCAACTGCAGCGAGTTCGGACGCGCGCGGCGCAAGCGGATAAGCCGGCGCGCAGCACTGTGACTCACACTCACGACTCTTTGCATGGTGTTTCTTCACCAGGGCAAGGCTACGCTGTCACGCTCGCGCTCGCGCTCGCGCCCGCCCCCGCGCCCACCTCCACGTCCGCGCCCGCCCCCAACATCCACGCGTGCCGACACCGACACCGACACCGACACCGACGCCGCCAAGCTCAAGTCTTACAGCAGCTCTTCTCCTCACCATCAGCGCCGGAGTTCGTCGCAGCCGCCGCCGCCGCCGCCGTCGCAGCCGTCGCAGCCGCCATCATCGTCGTCGTCGTCGCCATGCGGACGCGTCGATTGGCCGCCTCGCGGACCAGAGCTGCTCCGGACGGAAGCATCCATCTCGCTGCGATGCGAGTGGCAAGCTGTAGCCAAGGTCGCAGTTGTGAGTGGCAGATGTATCCTATCTGTCGAGATGCGCCCTTGGGGGTGTCGCCGAATTCATGCTTTGCCCCTTGCTCTACGGCGTCACGTTGCCAGTGCTGCCTCGAGGAGGGGGCGCTGACCAACTTTACCATCGCAAAGCGAATAAATGTCGGAATGCGCATCTCTGAAACTTGACAATAACCCGCCCCCATCATCATCGCTGTTCCTCTCAGACGATACACTCGCCATTCTCTTCGCCCTGCGCACACTCACTTTAGCTCTTGGCTACTGCGCGCCCACCACAACCTGGCAGATTCTCTAGCTCGCAGCCGGGAAATTCTTCATTGGTCCGGCAACGCGCACAACGTGCACAGGTAAACTCATCTGGACAGGACGCTCCAGTCGCAAGTAGATTGAGTCGCGCCGCAATGCCTGCCCTCATTTCTCAAGATATTCCTTTCGCAACTCGTGACGGTCCAGCCGGGGTCGAAAGCGAGGTGCCCGAATATGACGTGGTCATCTGCGGTGGTGAGTAGGACCTGGCAGGAAACAGCATGATAGTGCTGACTTTGTCAGTCTGCGCATCTACTCCTCGTCATCCGCAGCGGGTCCCGTCGGTCTGATCACTGCGTCACAGATGCTGCGTAGCGGCCTCACAGTGAAGATCGTCGACAAAGCTGCCGAGTCTCTGGATGTGGGTCGCGCTGATGCCGTGCAGCCTCGCGTGTTGGAGATTATGAAGCAGCTCGGCCTGCTCAACGAGCTGCTAGCCACAGGTCCGCTCATCGACCACACCATCTTGTACAAGGATGGAAAGTGTCTCGTTTTCCGACCCAGTCACGCCAGCCCGTCCGAGTTCCAGTACTTGCAGGTCATCACACAGCCCGAGGTGGAGCGGCTGCTCATCCGCGACATTGCCCGCTTCGGGTGCTACGTCGACCGCAGCACCACGCTCGACCGCTACGTACTCGAGGGCGAAAAGGACCACACAGGCAAATCGACCATATCCCTTGACTGGACCAACATCGAGACAGGAGCGTCTGGCTCGTGCCGAGCTCGCTACCTCATAGGCTCTGATGGCGCGCACTCTGCCATCCGCAAGAGTCTCTCCATCCCATTCGACGGCGTCACCACCAATCTCGTCTGGCAGATCGTCGACGCAGAGTGGGACACCAACTTTCCCCATGCATGGGTCTTTGGCTGCGTGCTCAGCAGCGAGCACGGCGGCGTTCTAATCATTCCGCGAGAGAACAATATGAGCAGACTGTACGTCCGGGTACTCCCGGGCGCCGACGGCAAAGCACCCGATCCCAACGTGGAGAATGTCGACACGGCAATGAAGCGCATCAATGATGTCTTTGCGCCCTACTACGTCAAGCCAAAAGGTCCGATCGAATGGTACACCATGTGGAAGATCAACGAGCGCGTCGCCCGGTCCTTTCACGATGACCAAGACGGACGTGTGTTCTTGGCTGGCGACTCGGCCCACTGTCACAGTGCGGCGGGCGCGTATGGTCTGAACACCGGATGCATGGACAGTCACAACCTGTCCTGGAAGTTGATCCTCGATGCCAAGGGCATCTCCAAACCTGCCATCATCGACTCGTACAGCGTCGAGCGCCGAGCGACCGCCAAGCGCATCGTCCAGGCTTCCAGCTGCTTCTTGCGCTTCTTGTGCGGTGCGCGCGGTGCCGACACTTTCGCCAAGGACTTTGCGATCGCGGCCGGGGAGGATCCTGCTTCAATCGAAGCTCCGCAATTCATCCCGCAAGAAGGTGACCAGAGCATGGATCCCGATCAAGCTTTCTTTTCTTGGTATGCTCGCACATACACGGGCCTGCTCACGGGCACGGACATTTTGTACAAGCCCAGTACGCTCAACAAGCCGTGGCAAAGCTCCGGCATGGTGTCCAAGTACCAAGCTCTAGATGTCAAGAGGGCGGATGTGAATCTGAGCAGGAAGATCCAGAAGATGAAGTTCGACGAGATGCAAGGATTTGCATCCGGCGAATCGGACGCAGCTCGCACGGAGCGGGCGGAGCAGGCAATCGCGTCGCCTCAAGCGTCGCCCATGATTGGCTACCGTACGCCGAACCCGAGATTATTCAATCCTCGCACTGGCGCCGTGCAGAGGCTGTACGACTCGTTTGCCCCTCTTCCCTGCTTCAACATCGTCCTTCTTGGCGGCGATATGTCTGGATCCCTCGGACCATTGGTGTGCGATGCACTCGACGCATTTGCCAAGCAAGGATCTTTCCGTACACGCTTCGCAAATGCACAAGCAGGCCAAGCGAGATTGATGAAGATGCACCTGATTCTCGATGCTCACAATGTGCGCGATCGTGCGCTGTTGGACGCGCTTGCCCTCCGCTTCAAGCAAGCGCTCTCCCACAACGCTACCGGCACTCACCAGGAGACGTCCAGCAAAGACGACGACGACCCTTTGCACCACTACCTCGAAATTCACCTAGACGATCAGCCAGATGAAGGCAGAGCCAGCAGCTTGTTCGGGACTGCAGCCGAGAAGATGTCGGACGCACCGCGCGAGCGTGCCTTTATCGTCCGTCCGGACCTGTGGCTAGGCACCAAATCCACCTTGGAAGAGTTCCAGCACTCTGCCGAGTCTTACTTTGCCGACTTGCTCCACCCTCATACTTGATCGTATCGATGACGAACGAAGATTCGCCTTTGATTGCACATTTATTTACCACGCCACGACTCAATCGATGCATCCCTTCTTGATCCTGCCTGTCCCAACAGCATGGAAATAGATGCATTTGTTCTCATCATCGTCGCCCTTCGACTCGAGTCTGTATCCCTTGTGCATACACGTTGTTTGCTGCTTCGCGGACTATGTCCATAATCGTGTCTCGATCGGTCGTCCACGACTGATGGCATACAAATTGTAATTTTACCGTTCGCGGCAGCCAAACATCTGCGCGCGGCCAACCTAGGGTGTTGGCCCTGTGCCCTCGAAGCCCGCGTTGTGGCGTAGCCGCGTCTGTCAGCTCCACTTCATCCATCCACACACGCGCGCGCGCGAAGGAGGCAACGCACGACCGTCATACTTTTTTTTGTTAGACTTGACGCCGCCGCTTTTACATTCTGATTCGTGATCTGACCCAGGTGCCAATCCAGCTTGTCACGTGGCAGAGTAGGGATTCCGTCGCCCAGTGACGCCTTGTCCGAAGCTCCACATGCGAACACATAATAGACAGGCACTGACACGAAGGCACGTACACTTGAGCATATTTCATTCATCACGCTCACAAGCGGGCGGACTGTGTCATACGTGCTATACTCTTCATGCTCACAATCGGGCGAACAGTGCTGATAGGCATGCATTGTGCTGATGAGGAGGGACGAGCAGGGGAAATTTGACAGCTAAGGGAAAAGAGCACCGAACCGCTGGGGCGCGCCCACCTCACAGAGCCGACTTGCCCGCCTTGACATTCTCCTGAAGCTGATACAACTGCGACGTGAGGTCGGCAAATGTATCCTGCCAAGGCGTCCACTCGATTCCGAGGAGATTCTTGGCCTTTGCGCTATCCAGCTTGGCCACAGGTCCAGGTTGATTAGGGGTGCCTGGGGTGCCCGTCGGGAGGGTGCTGGCGTGCTCGGGAAAGCGCGACTTGAGGAAATCGACAAC